TTCCAAATCCAAACCAAAGATGTTGCCAAGGGGGTTTCGGCATTAAAATCTCGGATACAGGGGGGTCTCGAGGGTGGCTGAAAAAAACTTGTATCATGTATTACGAAGGAGGTTCAAAACTGTCAGAAATACACCCTGAAGCACTCCAGGAGGTAGAAAGAGAGTATTTGGGACTCTACAGGCATGTACAACGTGGTTGTTCGGATTTGGAAAGTCCATCAATCGTTGTGAACGTCTCCGAGTGTCCGTCGATGGCGGAAAGAATGGTTACTTGAGCTAAGTTAGGGGGAAAATTGACACTAATACAAGCCTGGGAGATTGAGGCAATATGGCAGTACATGCATAATGTTGAAATTCTATATTGCACTATTTGAGTCTGAAAAAAGCGCACATTACTCAGTAATCGAGGCTGTTATGTATTAAATGCAACTGGCCGGCGCTCGACGACGTTATAGCGCCACCAGAGCATCGATGTCAACCTGGTGGCGGTGAGGTGGCGGTGAGCACGCACATGACTCGGAGACGCGGCCCGCCGCTAGGGGTGGGAACCTCCTTCCTTATATAGGGGGGAGGGGTCTGGCCGAGGGTCGAAAAAAACTTTTCGACCCTATATCCATTTTTCGAATCCCGATTCCCCCTTGGATGTTGCGACCCATCTCTGTGGACGCAACTGTGACTAAGAAGGCCTTTGAGGTACACATTACATCCATACCACCCCTTATACAAGTAAATTATATTTTTGGAGCGCCAAACATTCAATTTCAGCATTGACTGAGGGTCTCCAGAGTGCCGCTTTGACCACATCTCTGACCCACTCACACAGATGTTAAATGGTATAAGAATCTGGTCTAACATATATATTGTGAGCCTGTTTTTAGCTGCTGGCCACCCTTAAAGGAAACCGGGACAATGTTCGCGCCAATTGATGGTGTGTAAGCACGATCCGCTGTCCAAATCGGGATACCAACACTATATTTGACTTCTGAGACCCAGAATTCATCCTCCTGACATCCTGTGGTGTTCCAGGAGGTATATATTGCAGTTTTGGAACTCCCTCATACTACGTGATAAAAGTTTTTTTCAGCCCTCCCTGGGAACCCCCCCCCTATATCGGAAATTTTAATGCTGAAACCCCCTTGGACTGAGGCAATCCCTCAGGAGCCTCTTGCATCTAGAGTACTCTACAACTGGGAGACATACCTTCTGCAGTTCCAAACCCACCAGCTGCCCCGTATCTCAATGAAAAATCTCGCAAGGCTATAATGTGTGTCTCCTCACGTAAGCTCTTATAAAGCGGGTATGTAAGGCCGAGGTAAGGCTGACAAGCGGCACAGCCTGCTACCAATTAATTGCCCGGATTCGTTCAAGTTGGTCTGAGTTTAACGCAGATCAAACGTTGGACCTTGGGAATTTCCCCAAAATTAATTGTACTGGATCCACGGCCCTAGCATTTAAATAACAGCGGCCCAAAGTTCGCTCGATCGCCGTCGCGGGGCGACCAGCTCACATTGGGTAAGAACCGAGCCCGGGCTCTTGCGGCCTTGCACCGCCTTATAGCCAAAATAGAAAGTTCCGACATCACTCTCTGCTCCCCTTCACCTTCATGAACACTTCATTCACACCCAACGAGATGTACACTGTGGACTACCGGGCACTTCCAACTTCTCCTCCCGTGGCAGCGAACTGCGAAGTCTGTATCGCTGGGTAAACGGTAAACCAAAAATACCGGGGAGATATCAATCTTTGACGCAGATGATCTACGGGAGAAACAGATTGTCAGCTGAACAGTGTGGAAGTGGAAGCGGCGCTATGGATTGATGCCTCTACGCGTCATCATTGAGCTATTGCCTACACCGGTGGCCTCAGCTTGGCTTCTGGTACCCCGGCTACAATTGGGGGATTTCACGATTTCTCATGCATGATGGCCCAACGGAGAGATTCCCATGCCAGGTCTCCTGAGTCTTGACGCCGGTTGGGATGATTCACAATCGCGAATGCTCGCAACGATCATTGTCCTCTCCATCCTGATTTGACCTGAAACAGGCATCCGGCATTCAGCGAACGGCGACTGATCATGGCGGTGTCATGGGCAGGCACTATATCAGCCAGGATCGCTTTGCAGATCATCCAATCCCTCTTCCACACCTTCATGTCCCTGTCCCCCTGGTCTGTGACCGCTGTAGGGTCATTCATCCTCCATTCTATTCTCGCAGGCTGACGAAGTGAACAGGTCGAGATATTCTTTTACGGTTGTGTTAGGTCTCCTCCTCAGTGATCTCGGGCTAAAATAAGGACCCCCAGGGACATACCTCGTAATCTTCGGCCTTTATCTACATGTTCTGCGTACACGGGGAATGGCCCAGCGCTACTTCCTGACCGCCGGGACGAGTGCACTTTTTATCCTCAGCACTGTGCATTGCGCGCTCGAGGTCGCGATCAGCATCCTTGATACCAGAGTCCTGAAAGGACAGGACTTGACGTCCTTCGAAATCAACTTATTAAAGACCTTTCCCATCCATGCTGCGGGCAACGCCGTTTATGTTACAAGCACGTGCGTGTGCCAATTTTATGTAAGGACCGCATTGACATTGGTCCCAAGCGCCATTGCAGATAGCATTTTCGTATGTCTCTCGAAGAGATCCGGAAGATTTCAAAGTCCCTGATTGTTCTTCAGATCTTCCGCTGCTACGCAATCTGGAATTTTCAGCGCAAAATCATCATCTTTCCCACATTTCTCACCTTTGTTGCCGTAGGCGAGTTTATCTTCCTCGTGCAAGTGCGGTCCTCCAATTCACGCCTCTAGCGGCCGGGTATACCACTGCCGCTGGATTTTTGATCGCATCAGTTGCCATCTCCCTTTTCACGACCGTCATTTTAATGGGGCTCACGGGTATGTTGATATTTCCTTGATATACAGCACAATAATCCTTTCATCAGTGGGGCGAATCTGGTGGCTAGCCCGTGCAGCTCAGCTGGTTAGGGGCCGACAGGTGGCAGACAGATACCGGACGGTGTGCGCCATGATGTGTGTGTATCGACCCTTGTACCTGGCTCGCCCTAATACCCAACAGTTTGGAGTCCGGAGCCCTGTATTGTGTGGGCGGGATCGTTTTCCTCGTCCTCTCGCTCAAATCTGACTTACTTATGACATCTGTGAGCTCATTACACTATCCTTGTGCATAACTCTGACCATTCATAGGTGCAGACCGGTACCGTCCTGGGACAGCTTGTAGTGAGTTCATGCCCCGCCCGCTCTGTATCTCCCCTCGCTCAAGTATGCCTGTGCAGGGGATCGCACCCACAATCATCGCCGTCCGAGTGGGACTCGGATACAGCGTTGAGAACGTCGACAGTTTTATAGCTCCACAACCTCGTACTTGCCCTCTGCCGCACTTGACTGCGCCGACGGTGGAGTCCCAAGTTTTGCATGTTTGTGCCGATGAAATGAAGGCGGAGGTCGTATGAGACAATGAAGATCTCTCTAGTTTCCGAGTATCAATATGCCGCCGGTTTGAGGATTCAGCGGACGGGGCGAGCTTGGGAGATTTTCGCGGGAATGTCCCGCCATCATGAGTGAATGTCGACAAGAATTCGTGTAAAGTAGTATCAGATATTCCCCTCACCGCTGGCGTGCAGCCGCGACACTCCGTGCGAGTGATGAGCCCAGAGCTAGCTGGTAAGAAAACGGTGTTGTCAGTGGACGCTTGCTCGGAACATACATACATACTAGGGATCCTGTTGCATATTATGTCTTCTTGGGGTAGTGAAACCCGGAAATAATCAACAAGAACCAGGCGCAGATGCAGGAGTAATAGTAAAAGGACTAATGCCGCATAAACACAGACGGTGGGACGAGAGATGGTAGTGAGCTCCAGAGTCACGCTAGCGTTCGATTTCAGACCCTACATGGGCAGGTGGAGAGATACTGGGCAGAAGAGACGATGCGCGCCGATCATTATATTTCATCTGGAAGCGAATGGTAGGAATTTGACAGTAACCAACCATTAAGGTACGAAAGGCACAGGCTCCGAGGACGGCCTCACTTTGTCTCGGCCCTTGCGCGGTCGTGACGCGCATCTGCTTGAATCGCTGCACCCGGGATGCGAGATCGGGACTCAATGCACGCAGATAGGGCACCTCCCGGTGCGCGCAACGCCAACTCGAGGCCGAGAGGATGATCGCGGGCCGCCGCGTGTGGCAGATTGTGGTCATTCGGGTGCGGGACAAGGGGGGAGGATATGGGCAAGATAGCACGCTGGAGCGCGGCAACGACGAGCAGAGCGCTGAGCGCCTGTGGAGGTGCACAGGAGGCCATCACACAGTCGAGTCATCGCGCGGGATGTGCGTGTGCATGGCCGGTGCGGCGATGGAGGGGGACGAGAACGATGTGGGAGCATGGGAGAATGTAGAGAGGAGGACGGAGGGGGTCTTGGAGGAAGGTAGGTAGTGCACGCGTGAGTGGCGACAGCGATGACGCCTCGGCGGGTCACGGTGCGGCGGCATTGGTTTCGTGCGCGACTCGGCAGATCTTGAGTGGCTTTGCTTGGTATCCCGGCTATCGCCGATGCATGGCGCCTTTTCTGAATTCTCCTACTAGTGCCCAATGACATCCAGATCACGACCAAGAGGTTCAATCTCAAAGGCCGCGGGCGGCGTCCTCCAGAGCATGGGACCATGTCTGATATTATAAGTATTTTGCTTTCGGATACAACCATCATCGGCGCGCATCGCTTATTGTCTGTGTTATTCCATTTCAAAAACCGCCCTCTTTCTAGTGCTACCGCGGATCTATCTTGGAACAGCGGTCCCGCTCCGATGTGAAAGACAAAATGCCTATAAACGTAGCGCCATGTCGAATCCTGGGTCGTTGATGAATACCGAGCAGGGAAGGTCCCGCCTTGTATATTCGACAAACTCCCCTGGTGATACTTTCCTGAGAGGGCTCGTTTCGGGGAGCCCTTGCGTGGTATCTGCGAGTCAAAAGCATTAGGCAAGGCACATGTCTTCGGGTGGATTCGAACCACCGTCACCCCCGGGAACGTTCGGTGAGCATTTGAAGCAGCTGGGAGCGGGTTCACTACCCCACAAAGACGTGGTATCTCGCTGTAACCCCTGATGGAAGTCACAGTGTCCCCACTCAGTTCGGTGTAACTCGCTTCAGCTCCGATGATGGGAAGCCACGCCGCGGGGCGCAACACCTCAACGTCCTCAAGGTCTCACTAGATCTAAGAATTGCACTGCGGGTTGGATGTCCTGGGTAGGCTGTCTGCGCGGTGAAAGATTCCCTTTCACCGGATATGTCCTCGGGTGGATTCGAACCACCGATTATCCCAAGGTAATGGAAGCATTGCCCAATACTGCATAGGAGCGAGCTTCATTACTCCACGAGGCCATGGGGATGCCTATGCTTCACCCGGATAAATTGTGGCTTCTCGCCGTCGGTCGCATTCTCAGCGAGTTGGGTCACAGTTTCAGCTTCATTGCACATAGCATGAGCCGCACCGTCTAACATGTGTGGTGAAGTGGGTGAATTCATTCCTGATTACAACGTCCCCTCCTTTGGACGGGAGATCACTTTGCATCTTGTTCAAAACCGCACGAAATCGGCGGGACCGGGCATGCCGCGGATGAGACTGACATCCGCCTTTGCCCATTTTCTTCTTTGCTCAACTCCATTCCCGCCAATTTCAATGCTCCACCCATCTCTGATAGCGGGACCGGGAATTATGGAGGCGCCATTCAACGGAAGGGCAGACCAGAGCCGGAGGGTGCGCCACCCAAACAGAAATCGCTGAAGATCGTGCAAATGCAGGCAGATCCTCTCTGAGGCTCGCGCCCGCCCCACGTCGTAGACCTGGCACTTGGTGCCCCTTGTCTTCGCTTTTCGTGGAGTGCATCTGCGGTCGCCGGTAGTCGATGTGTACTTATCACAGATTCCTCGAATGAATTGAATTCGTTCGGTCCATCGCGTGCGGTGATCCGACTCGAGGAGCATCTGAGGATTTCAGTCGGACTCCCGGTACCTCCCTGAGCTTGGGATTGGAAGGTTGATGGCTAGGTGGACGATGTGAAGCGGCAAAACCGCATCGCGTCTAGTGATGGACGGGCTTTGGCTTGGCCTGGAAGCCGTGGCTTTGGCCCGGCTTCGAGTGGCTTTGGCCCCGCAAATTACCAGGCCGGGCCACCACATTTAGCTTTAGCTTGGCCCGGCTTGGCTTTGGCTTGAGCCACGGCCTTTCATCAAGTTTCAGCCCATACAAAATGGAAGGCTTACAGTGTCCCAAATAATTTTTGGTACCCGAAATCAGTCTTTCCTAAGGTGCGTAAGTACCCTGGGATGGATCTTAAGTCCAAGAGAGCTCGTAAATTTGATATTTGATATTTCCTAGCTCTTCTTCAGGTCATCTTCGGACACTTGTGGTGGGAAAACATTGTAGATGCCGGCCGGAATGATGGAAAATGGTTGAAATGTTTTATATGCATTATATGTGAGTGGGTATTTCGTTAGTTTTCTGTGTCTCTTCAGGGGCAGGGCGAGAGGTTCAAAAGCCACGGCTTTTTGGCCCGGCTTTGGCCGAGTAAATGCAAGGCCAGGCCAAAAGCCATCTTAGGCCAACATTTTAGCTTGGCTTTGGCCTTGGTACCAAAGCCAAAATGCCGCGGCTTTTTGGCCTCAGGCCAAAGCCAGCCAATCACTAATCGCGTCACGCCATCAGGAAAAAATCACTTGACTATGTGGCACAACATAGCTGGAGTAGCTCCCATAGCACGGTAGACAGGTCCCTGATCTGTAGCTGGAGGCGTGAGCTACAGAGCACTATAAATGGCTACAGTAGTTCCATAGCAGCATAGGGTTTGTAACAGTCCATAGCCTCGAAAGAAACGTACAGTTATTCATAGAAATCTCGGCCGACAGACCGGACAGTGAAAGTATATGCATTGAAATAATTGACTACATGGAAAGGGCGATGGAAGAGAGCACATCGAGCAGAGGCTCCCCCGCCGCCGCGCGCAGGCGCAGCCGAGAGACAGAACCCGGCAGCACGAAGTGGTTGTACTGGGCTCGCCAGGTCGTAGTCGGCTAGAGGCCATCGGCTTGCATCGATCACATAAGGAGAAGGCCGCGTACATGCGTCCAAAGTGAACGGCACTGCGGTAGCGTCGATGAGCATGACAGGGACCCAGGTATTGATACATCCTGCAATAAACAAGAATAAGGGGTGGAGAGGCTGAAAAAGAAGGAACCGACCAGGTGCTAGTGAAACTCGCGGGAACCGTCCCTGTCCCCTCCGACTCGAGAAAGCCTGTGCGCGTTCCGCTCGTACTATCGCCATCGCTGACTCGTGGGACTTGACTTCTGGTCCGCGGGGAACATTGTGCCGTGTTTGCGTCTTGGTGAATGGGACCAGACGCCGTCCGTGCTGCGACATGTTTCCTGTTGCGAGGTTCTTGCTGTTTTGTTGGTCATGCCAAAGTAGACAGCGAGAAAGGAAGGCGCGTTGTTGAAGATTAGGCTGTTCCTCTTGCAGAACTGGGGTGGTAGAAGGTCGTGCCGAATGCAGCTACACACGTGAGAACGATTGATCCTTCTTTCGAAGGAAGATCTTGCTGCAGCAGTACAACGCTAACAACAAGTGAGTCTTGTAAAACGCGGCTCAGTTGTGTAGTAATTTGGGGTGTTGCTCGGTGTTGGCTCGTTGTCGCTCGCTCGGGCTCGTGGTAGTAAGTGGGAGAAGAATGGAATGCGATAGAATGTGCTAGAAGGATCCCATGACAGGGTCCGCTGACATGGGTCGGCTGGAAATTTTACAAGCTGACTAAGCATATGCTGCTCCCGTTCGAAAATATATGTAAAGAGACCATCGTAAATCCTCCAGCTAAGCCGCCGGCTCAGTTACGCACCACAACGGGAGATAAGCAAATACATGATAGGGAGACACGCTGCCCCGCTCAGCGCCGACGTGGTTGCCCAGGCCAGGTCGAAGTCGATCCCCGGCTCATTCCGATTGTGGCTACGTGCCCTTGACGACGGCCTTTGCCTTTGGATTGCTACAAGTAAACTAACGAAGTGTTCAGTAAGAGTCAATGTAGGTAGAGTTCTAGACTTGAGCAAGAAAAATGAAACCCGAACCAATTTTGGACCCAACGCGAACGAAGACCAATTTCAGATTGATTGAGTGGCTTGGCAGTGTATTGGGGAAGTTCTAGTCCCTACAGCTGCATTGTGGAATTTTGAGTAAAAGAGTTCCGACCCGTGTTGAACGGCTGGACGAGCGACGAAACGCACGATGTGGTGGCGAAACAAAAGACGCGACGTGTTGAGCACATGACCCAGGTCTCACATGCACTTGGCTGCAGACGCGAAGGCGACGAGTGGGTCAAATCGCACTTCCACAGCGTGGACTGCAGATGAGTTGAGGACGTGCTTGCAGCTTTTGAGGAGGGGCGTCGACAGTTCAGGCTCTTGAGACAGCGAGCGCGACGGTGCCGAGGATATTGCAGAAACGGTAGCTTGGAGAACTGGAGGGGTCCGGGGGATAGCTTGCGCCGATTTGCGAGGGCTTGCAGGGGTGTGGATGCAGGTTGAGCCACCGCAGAACGCCGGCAACGGTGAGAGGAAGAAGAGGAAAGATGGCATCAAAATCAACCATCGGAGGGAAACGTGATGTGCACGGACCATCCGCAGTTTTCATGGCGGAGCTTGAAATGGACTTAGATGATTTCTCGCATTTCCACTTCCTCGCTGCTCAGTATAATGTGTTCCCGGCGGTCTGACCTTATGTATTGTACCTAGCACCATTGCTCAATTCACGTCGCATCGGACAACGCTGTCTGGACATTAGATCACTTTTAAATAACAAGTTCTGCGGGTGCCAAAACTCATCCGAGCTTGTTCATCGCCGCAAAGTTTTTGCGCAGCAACATCATACTATCTTAGTAACTCTGACTGGTATGTCTAGCTATTTATCTGGCATGCATGGCTATTGAGTCCTATAGATTGCTATTGCGAGGTCGGTTAGAGCTATGGCGGCTACTGGCGCTATTTTTGGCCACCTATGTAACCGGGCCCCTATTCCCCACAGAGTTTTTCCTGATGGCGCACGTGAATGGTCACACTTCGTCGCGCCCCTGGTTCCCATGAGTTGTGAGATATCCTGTCTGTACTTTTTGGCTTCCTGGCTTGGAGAGATGTGGCATGTGCGTGATCTCTGTTCTCAGCAATAGCTGTGGACTCACACGAAAAGAGGTTCGATAATTTCTCCCCTGCAACTTAGGCAAGATTCGAACCTACATCTCTCTCAGGGTGAGTGTGCTCTCCATTGAACTATGAAACCTTGCATTAGCTTGGATGTGCTTGAATGACTGCAGCAAGCCTTGAAGCTAGACAAGGCAAAACTCGGAGAGCCAATTGTCATTTTTAAATATAGGATAAGATAGGATTCACTCGGGACTTTTCTCTGACAGCAAGTTGAAACCCATCAGGTGTCTCTTCTGCTTCCATTGCTGGCCGTGAGTGTGATATGTACACCGGGAAATATGAGATTGGGTTCGATGACCTGATGATCTTTGTATGGGTCTCGCACGCAATTTGGGGAAAAGCTGTTACAATCACTATTCAATTGTGTTTTTCCCACGCTCACAGCTTGCAAGTGAGATGATCTCCCTTGAAGTGGCCTGATATAGCTCTTGTACTGATGAACAAAGAAGGTATCTATACCCCAAGTATACCTTCTGGGAGGATACATGTAACATCATCAAAGATGCGGGTAGTACTACTTACCCGTGCTCATGGTAATATGATCAATGAACACAGATGCATATGCATACGGCATTACCACTACTATTCAATTGTGTTTTTCCTGAGCTCACAGCTTGCAAGCGGGATGATCTCCCTTCAAGTGGCCTGGCATCACTCTTTTGCAGATGAACAAAGAGGGCATCTATAGCCCAAGTATACCTGCTGTGAGGATATATGTGACATCATCGAAGATGCGGGTAGTTACCCGTGCTCATGGTGACATGATCAATGAACACAGATGCATATGCATAAGGTTCCAATCAGGAGTGCAGCATCAGCGGGATGATCACATGATGAGCCAAAGGATGTTCAGCTTCCCACGTGCATTGAGGATAAAATGGACCGTGCCACCAGCACAGCCCAAATTATTGCCCATCCCACCAAATGCCTCCTCAGCCTATTGCGACCAAAGATTGATTAAACAACATTCTAAAGTGTTTCATGATAGCAGTGGATACCCTCAATGTGATTGCTAAAAGCTTCAAGACTCCATTCCTGGAACCTATCTGCGACACTGCGAAGTCTCTGCTGACTGGTATCCAGGTAAATTTCTACTATAAATCATACAATCCATCTCACTTTCCCCGGACTGT